GGAGGGGTAATGACAAAAACCAGGGATGCTTTCAGTTAAAATCTGTGAGGAACACTAAGGTTTGTTTCCTCCTCTGCTTGTTATTTCCACAGCTATTGTCACCTGCATGAGACAACAGAGATAATAAAACTGCAGTCGTTTGATAGGGAAAAAAAAATCTGTAGGATCATGCAGAAAGTAAGTTCTTGCCGGAAAAAACCCAGAAAACTTCCTGCTGCTAAAGGAAAGCTACAACTAATACTTGCATTTCTTACACTGTGGTTAGTATTAATGAGTATTATCTCCTTTTGTGTCTACAGTTGAGAAAATGCAACATGGCTTAAAAAGACCTTTCGTCAAAAAAAAAAAAAATCACACAATGAGGGTGCTGTCATGCCATTAAAATTGGAATTTCCCTCTGTACTTGTTTTTGTTTTCCTTCATAGTGTACAGGCCAGGCAAGGTGCCTTCTGGCTATACTCTGGGCTTTGTAGAAGCTTCAGGGGCTGCTAAACCCAGAACTCTCTCCTGAGGCGTTCCTTAAGAGAAGACTGGCCCCGTTCACAGCTCAGCTGACTGGATCAGGGCTCGGTGCTGGGCCCAGGGCAATCCAGTCAGACTGACACAACAGCCTAGCTCAAAGCTTTGCTTTCTGCTTCACGAGGATGCCTACACCAGTCAGCGCTGCTCCTGCAGAAGGTTTGAATCCGAGTAAAAGAGCTCACTGAGAGGCTGTCCTGGAAATGGAGGGACGAAGGGAAATGACGATAAGCAGGATTCATGAATAAGCAGAAACAAGCCGGTGGAAGCCATGAGATGAAGAGGAGAGGGAAATGGTAGCAGAGGCACAGCCAGAGAAAGCAAGCCGCCATCATGTCATGCACCAAGGACAGCAAAAGCCAGCTGCGTCGGCAGGAGCGGTTACCAGAGCTGAGCTGGTGGCTAAAGTGGTAGGCAAAGTAAGCCTCCCGCTGGATTCTGATGGACACCCAGTCTTCGTGAGGCCTGTCTATGCAGCTGCGTGGACCGTCAGCCTTGTTCTGCCTAATTTCCCAAAGCAACCTCCACAAAGACCACTGTTAACTGAAGAAACCTGACCGAGTCCACTCCCTCGTGGTCTCCCCGGCCCCACCGCACAGCTCTTCCTGTCATTCTCAACGATCTGTCTCTGTCCCTCGCACCCGGCCACCTGTCTTCTCAATGGAAGGTGTCCCTTCCTCACACAATTCAAGCTTCTCTTAGACGGCTATAATCCAGAATTGAAACATAGTTTTGCTGATTGAATGCAGTTTTCATTTTCCCGATTCTTTTTTAAAAAAGGCAGGCAGGGGCAATGCGCTTCACCAGTGCCATCCAGTAGAGTGTTCTGTGACGCTGGAAAGGTTCTGCATCTGCCCTGTCCCTAGTATGTGGCCATGAGTCATGTGTAGCTAATGAGCACTTGACATGGGGTTCTGCTACTGAGAAAACAAAATTCTAATTTAATTTTAATTAATTAAAAATTAAATGGAAAGAGCCACACGTGGCTAGTGGGTTACCCTGTTGGAGAACATAACTCTGTGCTATTCTTCCTTAAAAGAATATGGAAGGGAAGGAAAGGGATGGATTTTCCTAGTCTGTCTTTATCCAGTCCTGACCCAAATAAGTTGATTATTTTACTTCATAAATATACAGTTCTCGAATATTTACTGAAGATTTCATCATATGTGGTTCGAGGGCTACCTGCATTAACATCCTTTGGGGTCCTTCAAAGTGCAGATTCATGGACCCCGGGAACCTGCAGTTTTAAAAAACTCCCCAGGGCGTGAGAACACCTGCTTTACTGAACATTCAGATAATGATGCCAGAGGGTCTTTCTTACCCCCGTATTCAGCAAAGGGAGTAGACAGAGTGATCATGCAGTTTCTGTCTCAATTCAGAATGACTGGAAAATTAAGCTCAGCATAGGGGCGTGTTTGGAATTGCTGTATGGAAATGTAAGTGATACAAATGGGTGTGGTATTTAATAGCTTCTGGTCTTCGGGAAAAATTTCAATGTACATTTTCAGGCTCTCTCAGACTTTAGGATGGTCTTACCCTTCAATGCTGATAAAAAGAGTGGGGACAATCTATGAAAGCATTAGTCTACTAACATCTTTAGAGGGTAACAACATGTAGGAAGCACAGTATTTTGATCATCCAGTGGCACCTACCCCATTTTTAACTTAGGTGGAGGCAGTTTTCTTCTCATTTAATTTGGTTATAAGACTCTGAACCAAAATTGCTTTCTGCTGCAAAGAAAAATGCTTCTCATTAGCTTTTCCACTAAGGCCACTTTTTGCAAATCCAGTATTATTAACTAAATAATTGAAGTGACCTTAGTATGCAAGTTTAGAAACAATTTGGCACTGAGGTATAGGAGGAAAGTTAGAACAGTTCTCCATCATTTCAAAAACAGAAGTGATTCAAATGCATTTTTCATCCTGATTCTGCGCAACTCCCCAAAGAGAGACGGCTGAAATGCTAGATTACAGTGTTAGCCTCATTGGGCCCTCAACCTCTTTCCCACCCCTCTTCTTTCCAATTTCTCTAGGTTTCACAAAGAACTGGGAAGTTTGAGAAAAATTAAACATGCCACAGCTTGCTCTAAACAGTTAATTAATTCATCAACAACAAAATCAAAATCTAGGGAATTACATGTTTTTCCATACAAATACTCTTATTTATGTAGACTTTTTGCTGGTCATATCTACAATATAGACATTAATATTCAGCTATTGGTCAGAAGAAGTTCCACTGCACAGATGTATTAGGCCAATATATAGGCTGTACGATTTGATTTCTAAGATGGCCTCATTTGAGTGAAATTAAAAACCCACAAAGGTGAAAAATTAAAATGGTTTCTTTTTCTGCTGGCTGACAGAAAACTCTTAGAATCCAGCTTCCCTGTAGCTTTTCCGAGAAAAGAAAAACTTAGATGTTTCCTCACTATAATGTTGACTCAAGCTGAGGTATTTGGATTTGGAAGAAAGCAACATAAACTATAATATTAAAGCCTCAAAAGTTGATGTGGAAAGGAGAAAACTCATAGAGAACATATTTATATTATTATCAAATAGTTCTAGAGGAAGGAGTTTGTATAACCTTAAATCTAGCTCAAAAAATATACTGCAAAGAAAACACATTTTTTTGTAAAAGCTTTCAAATACGGATGACTAAAGTTCTGAGCACCTCTTTTTATAAACCTTTTTTTAATTAGCAATTTCTGAGACCTTACGGGCAGCGTTTCTGTCCAATCAGCTTCATTTGATTTTGCAAGGAGAAGCTGACCTGAAGCACCTTCTAGCAGCTTTGACTGGCTAGGTAGGCTCGGGTCAGAGATCTTAAAAGAGCTGAGAAGAAAAGACACACAGCCCTGTGACTGAAATTCAAGCTTGCTTGTGTGCTGGGCGCATGAGGCAGCACAAATACAGTCCATCTTTTGTTTTAACTGAATTGGCTTCGGGATTTCTGAAGCCAGGGGCCCTCATTATGGTAAAGCAGGTTAAACACTTTAAAAAGCATATTCTACAAACCTCATGAATTAAACCTGTTCTCAGAACCAGGAGGTAACTCAGCCCACTCTTTGTGTGACCAACTGAAATTCAGAATGGGAGTACAAACACCAGGGAGGGAGTGAACTTGTGCTTCTAGGTAACTTTGTATCCAATGGGGGGAAATAACCTGAAGAATGAAGAATCTTACTGTTTACATATGGAGCAGCGAGTCTGTTAGTAACATTTTCTGACTGGCATTTACACACTATGTTTTACCTGGGGAGCTTTCACTTCCATCATTCATCCATCACCACCATATTCCTGAGAGGCCAAAAGTGGCCCCCACGTTGATGTAGGCAACAGCAAAGTCCTCCACATAACTCAAGGTTTTGGCAAATCACCCCCAAGACAAGGTGGACAGTTTCATTTGTTCTTTTCACCATGCTGGCAATTCAGCCTATTAACATATCTTGTATTAAGAAGGAGAAGAAGGAAGAGGGGCTCTTGGAATGGTGTCTATATCCTTCGATTCCCTGGAACATTTAATTACTGAATATCCACGTGAGCAAGGAACACATATGGGCTAGCAAATAAAAAGCCTTCCCCACAAAAAAGTGTGTTCTCCATTTGCTTCAGAGTTATGTTACATTATAAAATCTTAAAAAAAACACACACACACACACACAAAAAAAACCCCAGAAAGATATATATAGGCAGAAAATTCCCCCAAAACCCAGACGTTTCCATCTGGCAATAAAGACACAGCCTTTTCAGAAGCAGCTGTCTTCTGCTTGTTTCTGTGAAGCATCTGTGACTAGAATAGGCGACATGCAAGAGATTGCCTTGTTTAGATGACGCCTCCTATCTGCAGAATAGCAGAGGTCAAGGAATAGCACAGGGAAAAAAGAAAAGCCTCATCATGATAAGGTCTGTCCCAGGGCCCAGGGAAGAATCAGAAGTGGGCTGAGTGGCCCACACGGCAGCGGAGCTAAACGCGGGCGCACGTGTTCTCTCCAAGGGAAGCAGCCACCATTCAGTTACACACACGAGATTCTGGCAGGGACGTGCGAGTGCAGCCAGAGTTGCTGATTTAAAAAAAAAAAGCCAAGAATCCAGACTTTGTGTAAAATCTCTCCATTTTAAAATGAGAGCAGCTAATCTGAAAAATGGCATGGGCCCAATAAAGCAAATCTGTGACTTAGCTACGGCCCAAGGTTAACCTTTTTCTAACGTCAACGAAGAATATATGCGCAGTTAAAATGATCTGCTTGTAACTGAAATGGTTTACGACTGCATAAATAAAATACAATTTTGGCTAGGATCCAGTAGGTACCTGAAAATATGACTAACTGTATTCTCCTCAGGAGAATCTGTGATGAATGCCATTATGAACGCAAGAGATTCATAAGACTCATAGGGGAAAAAAAGGAATCTGAAATATTTCATTGAAAAGATCTGTTCAATGTCTATTCATTATTACTTTTCAGGCAAAGTAGGTCACCTTACCTGTGCTTTCTTGAGAATGCTGTGCTCATCAGTGCTTGCTATTTGATAGACTTTTGCCATAACTATTGTTTTTCCCAAAGGCCCGCATGCTTTCTCCAGCTTCTGGCTGCAATCTTACATTTGGGACGGTAAAAATAGAAGACACTGTGGACAGAATAAAGAGTTTCCATTTATATATTTATAGATTATTTATAATCTTTCCTTGTAAAACATGGAGACTGAGATGCAGTTCCAGATATCCAGCCCGTAAAACATCATGGTATGTGTTGGTCTCTGAAATGTCAAGTGGTAACAGCCACACATTGACACAGATTTGTACACACATCTGACAGCACGGTCTGCCTTCCCTTCAGAACCACAGGGCGGTTGATATTCGTGCTCATATTTCTCTGATCGAGAACAACGAACTTGGGTTGGAAACAACATATCTTACACTTCCTTCACGCCATTCTTTCATTTGTTCACCGGAGAAATATTTATGGAGCCTACACTGTTCTAGGTATTTTGGAATCCTGTAGCATATAAACCGGAACGAAAAGAAATCCCTGTTCTTGTGGATTTCATTCGGGGGAGACAGACGATAAACAATCAAACAAATATATGAACTAGCAGTAAGTCTTATGAAGAAAAATAAAGCAGGGAAGAGAAACTGGAAATGCTGCGGTGGAAGGAGGTCAGTGAAGGCTTTCTTTTCTTCTTCTTTTTTTTTTTTTAAGTAGGCGCCACACCCAACATGGAGCCCAGGGCGGGGCTTGAACTCAACAACGCTGAGATCAAGACGGGAGCTGATATCAAGAGTCAGACGCTTAACTGACTGAGCCAGCCAGGCGCCCCTAGAGCTTTCTGGATAAGGGACATCTGAGCAGAGACCCAAGGAGGTAAGAGAGCAAGCCAAGCACAAATCTAGCAAGCACAAACGACAGGAAGAGGAAACAGCAAGGGCTGACACCAAGGAGCAAGATGAGAAGCAGGCAAAACAGAAGACTACTGTAAAACGCAGGTGAGAGAAGACAGGGAGCACCGTGGGGCAGAGCGATGGCAGTGAAGAAGTGAGGAGTGGTGTGTCCTCGATCTATTTGGAAGGGAGCGCCAACAGGGTCTGTGGAAGAACTGGGATTGAGTGTGACAAAAGAAGAGGCATAGAGGACAGCTTCCATCAGTGGGAAGAACGATGTTGCCATTTATTGACATGGGGGAGAGGACAGATGGAGCAAGCCTGTGGGGAAAGATCAGTTCGGTTTTGGTGATATTAAGTTCAAGATGCCTACTAGAGGGCCAAATGGAGATGCCAAATAGCCAGTTGAATGCAAGTCTGGAGTCAGGGAAGGTGGGACTGGAGACAGAAATCTGGAAGCTGTCAATGTATAAATGCTACCTAAAATCATGAGACTGAATGAGATCACGGAGGCTCTGGGGAGCGTATGTAGATAGAAAGGCCTGAGGATTATGTGCTAGAGCACTCTAAAAGTGAGAGGGCTGGTAGATGAGGAGAAATCCACAAAGAAGTCTGAAGAGGAGAGTTTAGGGTAGCAATAGGACAGCCGTGGGAGTGTCCCATCCTGGAATCCAAGGGAAGGAAGCATTACTAGGAAGTGATAGTGGACAGTTGTGTTGAATTCTGTTGATGGATCTAGATGAAGGCTGGGGAAAGACCAATGGACAGAGACTTTGAGAACAACAGTTCCAGAGCCTTGTGCATGAAAGCCTTGTTCAAAAGGACTCACGAGAGAATGGAAGTCTAGGAACTAGCTGAAAGCAGTAAATACATGTGAACTGGCTGTGTTTGTTTTATTTTTAAGAAGATGGTGTGAGGCTACATTAATAGCTATAATGTTTTAGGATAATATACAGGATGTATATAGGAAAGAGTAGGAAAACTCACAAACATCAGAGCTGGAAAGGTCCTTAGGGATCACTGTGTCTCTAACTGAGAAATCAGGAACCCACTGAGACCAAGGCACTTGCCCAAAGTTGCCCGGCTAGCTCCCAGTGGGGCTGAAGCTAGAATCCAGGTGGTCTGATTCCCAGTCCGGTGCTCCACACACTGTACCAATTTGTTGCCCTTCTTTTACTGCAGATCTGAGTTTTGTGAATTAGCAAATGAATGTAATAAAATCAAGGACTCTGTGCTATGAAGTGTATTTTGTTCATTTACTTTGACAAGGGTAGTTCAGCTTCAATAATTTATGTAACTTGATAGTATACACAGGAGAATGCCCTGTGGTGTATTTCGGAAAAGTAATGAATTTCTTCTAAATCAGCCCTCCATTTACTTCCCTGCAATTAAATTTCTGTGAAGAAGTGGGGCAAGGCTGTTGGGGTTTCAGGACAGAGGGAGAATGACAGGCTGCCACCAGAATTAGCCAGCTTTAACTACCAGATCCCCAGGTATCACTATTCTTGCTTGATGAATGTGTAATTCCCCCTTTGGTGGTACACTAACACATCACTTCTAAATTTTAGTATTGTGTAAACTAGTGAGATTTTAAGGGGCAGTATATTAAAGAAAGATATTATATTGTTAAATGTTCTTCCAAAGCAAAGAAGAGTCTGACATAAGCATACAACTTCATTTTTATACGGATCCACGGAACAACCGCACTGCTTTGTGTAACCGGGATTGCAACGACACCTGATACCCTTCTTCTCACAGAGTCGGATATATTAAAGTAGGCCAAGAAGGCTCAAGCCCACTTTTAATTTATTTTTGTTCCAATTTTCTCCTTTTAACCTGGTTTTGCTTTCTGCTTGCATACGTGTTTTCCTTTTGTGGATATTCTTTTTAAAACTCTATAAACTATCTTTAAGAATGTAAGCACTATGGACTGAATTGCGTTCCTCCCAAATTCATATGTTGAAACCTTAAGCCCCAATGTGATGGTATGTGGAGACGGAGTCTTTGGGTAGTAATTCGGGTTGGAGGAGGTTGGGGGGGGGGCACATGATAAGATTAGGGGCTTTATAAAGAGGAAGAGAGAGGGAGAGACTGTTCTCTCTGCCTGTGTGAGGATATAGCTAGGTGGCTTTCTGCAAGCCAGGGAGAGGCTTCACCAGGAACAAAATCTGCCAGTACCTCCATCTTGGACATCCTAGCCTCCAGAACTAAGAGAAAGAAATGCTAGTTGTTTAAGCCCCCACAGGCTAAGGTATATTTTGTTATAGCAGCCTGAGCAGACTAATACAGTGAGGTTCCTGGATTTGATGAATCTAAACCAATACTTCGTTGCTTAAGACAATCCATTTTATTCATTCATTCATTCATTTTTAAGACAATCCATTTATTGGTTCTGCAACACTTCTTCTCAGGTGGACCTCCTTCCAAATCTTCTTGTTAAAGGAAGCACATGAGGATATCACCCTCGCTGCTGCCATTTGCCAGGTGGTGAACTTTTATCAGACTCCATACTAATGGGAAATATAATTTGAATAATTTCTAAATATAGTCTGCAGAATATTAACCTAGATAACAGAGTCCCCGGAAGAAGTCATTTCACCTAAAAGAACTAGTTCTCAAAGTATCCGAAGTCTAGGAATTTTGTTTTGTAAACATGTTTACAAGGACTACCACGTTGTTCTAAATGGAAATGACTACAGTATTTGATACCGGGATTGTCCTTTCTTGGGACTGGATTTATGCCTCATAATGATGATCCGTTAGACACAGAAATAGCATTTCTGTAACTCAAAATTGTTACCGGAGGCATTTAGCAGAATCTTGCTTTAAAAATATAATGATTTTTCATCTTTATTCTCCCCCCTTCAAAAGGTTTCACTGCTCCTGATGTTTAACGTTAATGCAAAGACGTGTTTCTGCCAATGAATATCGCCTTATGGTTATGCTTCTGCAAATAGCCTGCTGTGAGCTGATAAAGGGATTAATGCAGCCAAAATTCTTAATCTGTGAAATTACAAATTAAATTCTCATATTAAAAATACCACCCTGAGGTATTTTTTGTGGTTTTAATTCCCCTCTGGTGTTCTGCATACATTGTGCTTGTTAATGACGGGGACAAGGCTGTCTCCGGCGGCAGCCTGCTGCCGAGTGATAATGTGTAGGCATTTACTTCCTGATAGAAACTGGATTTAACCACTGGCTGATAAACTAAGTGGCAAGTGGGTAATAAGTCCATATTAACAGAAAAGTACTACCACAGAATTCAGAATTCGCAGACCATCAAAATCCTGGCTTAAACTCAATCATCGAGTCAGATGGGATTGAGATGTCACCAAGGAGGAGTGATATCAAGTTACAAGTTATACTAAATGGGAAAACAAACCATACGTTTGAATTTGATGAGCCATAAACTAATGAGCCCATTTGTATCTTTTTTTTTCCAGTATAGAAAGATGTGCCACTAATTCATTATTTTTCCATAGAAATTTCATCTTTAATTAAAAAAAAAAAATGGGAAGAGCTGTCATAATGGTCAATGGGTAGACTTTTAGAAAGAAAGGAGGGCAGAATATAGAATAAATATTGGTTAGGAATATGTAAAATGTTAAAGATTTACTAAGCATAAGGGGGAGTAGTGAGTAGTGGTTTAATATATCTATAGACAGTTTAGAATAAAAAAAATTCAAATTAAATGTAGGATATCAAAAAAGATTTAGGGTAGAAATATGCAAGAGGAGTTGTTACTTGGGACTCAGCTACAAAATAAAGGGGTCCTGTTGTCAAGGAGAATCTAATACTACAATGGGGGGAAAGCCTAAAGTCCAAGAGATTAAAGAAATAACTTTCTGTATGTCTACGGTAAATGTGTACCCAAGGATTAATAAATATATTATAAATACCTATGCATGTAGGCAGTATATTAATTTTTAAGGTAGTTAGAAAAGAGTATGAGAAGGAATATTTCAAATTGGCATTTGGAAAGAACGCATCACCATTGAACCAAAATGTTCTTACTGCAAGTGTCTTGCAAAATTTCACAAGAATTCTGTTTCACACTTTGGAAGAAAGATGAGATCCTCCCAGCCATAAATCTCCCAAATATTTAAAATATAATTGAAAAAGGCTGTGTAAATATGAACGCTTTTGTAAAAACAAAACAAAAACCCACCCAGGAATGTGTTTTGTTTTAAAAGATCCAGAGAAGCGCTGTCTGTATGAATACCAAGAGCATTTGTAGTTGAAATGAATTACAAGTCTTCGGTTCTTACATGTCAATTCAGTGCATTAGCCAATTGCCAACTCTGCTTGTCAGCTCACTGCATAGCAGCCCTTTTTAACATTATTGTTACAACCAAGATGGTCTCTGAGAATCAAACAAAAATGAATCATTTCTTCTCTGTGTACTGCAGCCAGTTAAAAAGTACTGCATGCATAAAGCACTAAATATGTAAATCATATTTTCCTTTTCCTTTATGACTGCTCAGATCATTCTTCTGGACACAAACATAATCAAATACAAAGACATGCAGTTGCAGACTGCAGAGCAGAGATAGCAAAAAAGGAATCCATTTTCTTTTTCTGCCTGGTAAGCTAGCAACTGGATGGCAGGATTCCACTAAATATATACACACATGACTCCTTTTTCCTCATTCTCTCTCTCTCTCACTGGGTCTCCCCCCACCCCCATCTACAGATACACGCACATATATATGTGTACATGTAATGCATATGCAATCATACACAATCTTACATATGCACATATAAAAACATATGACTCCTCCTACAAGTACGTTACACACAGACGCTAAAATGATATGGCTGCTTTGATTGGATGTCTCAGATCTGTCATACTCACTATCGGTCAGTTCCCATAGCCGTGGGGGCAGGTCACTAAAATACTCATGGCTCAAGGCAGCCTGTGCTGATAGTCTGTTCTTTGGGGAACATTGTAGGAGCTTGGAGGCCAGATCCTCTGCATAATTCACATAGCTGAGCCTGAAAACACAAGCAAAAAAGAGAAATCAGACCAAACAAGAAAATCCACTGAATAAGACATAAAGCTCACCTAATTTTTCTGGACCTATTTATTCTTGGCCAAAACCGAGTTAAATTACCTGCTGAAAATAAACAGAAGCAGAATTCACTTTGGTTCTTGGGGCATCTGTTAATCTAAACTAGCTTTTATACTCTTGATATCCTCATCTCATTGATTGAAAATATTTCTACTATAAGCAAAAGGTTGATACTTTCAGGATAGAACAAGGTCCCGAGGTAGCGAAAATTTCAGGAGATAAATGATCAAATAGTTACCAGAATTTGTTCATAGAATCTACCTATTGCATACACATCTGGATACATTTATAAGAAAATTAATACAAAATAACTAGGAGAATTAAAATAAAACTACTATTACGTTCTCTAGTTACTGAAGTTACTTTTCCTCTAAGAATTTACATTTTCTTACATTGAATATAAAATTATTGGCATAAGTACACCGTCAAATATCAGCAATCATGCTATTAACATGCAGGTTAACAAAGGGAATGTGTATAACCCATATGGGGCTGAATTAATTCAAGATGACCATTGAAACAATAGATAGAAAATATGTGTCTCAAGATTACCAAAAAAGCAGAGAGGTCAAATCTCCCATGGGGTACAACTTTCAAATGCATACCAGACCACACAGTCCAGCCCAGCCTTACTTCCTGTAGAATCTCTATTTCATTGCTCAGCACAATTAAACCCAGATAACTAACACAAACATGATAATAGAAGTATTCCTGATAATGGCTGCCATTTGTGGGTCATCAAACACGTGTAAGGCACCTTCCTAGGCACTTCCCACACAACGCTCATATTTATTTAGTCTGACAAGGGAACTCTGTCTCCATCTAATAGCAGTGCAAGCTAAGCGGGAGTCGGGAGTCGGAGAAAGGCGTGGACTGCTCAATTAGCAGGTTTAATTGCTAAATTAAAGCAATTTTTTAGCATTTAAACCCATCTAGAATTACTTGACTCTAAAGTGGTTTGCATTTGTTATCCTCTTAGATAATTTCTAAAGGCAACCCATGGATTCCTGAGTTTCTGCAACAAGCGCAGTAAGGACACCGACTCTCAGAGAGAGCTAGAGAGTGTGAAGGCAAGTTGTATCTGCTGATGAGTATTTTTTCAAAGTCTTGAAGCTACTAAACACACAGCCAATGAATTTTCCTCAATAACCAACAATTCACCCGCTTCCCGTACTCAAGCAGCTCTTCAGCATTGATTTAAAATTGTTATGGCACAGGGGAGGACTGGGAATGAGGAAGAGGAAAGGAGGTAATGAATTTGGATAGAGGAAGAAACAGGGAAGGAGCAAAGAAAAATACTACTCTGAAGACCCCACCTATGAGGCCTCTCTAGGTCTTCATATGTGAAGGTCTCATAGATGGGTTCGGTATTTGGCTGTCGTAGTGGCTGTTTTTTTGTTTTTTTAAACTGATCAGTGGATTGGTTTTAAATGTCTCTGCCAGGCAAAGACAAATTTGTGCATAGGAAAAGGAGGCATTCTCAAAATTCTCTATAGTTTTTTTTTTTTTCCTTCTTTCCTTTAAGAGGGGCCAGGGCCATCCAAATTATTGCTGCCTCTTCCTAAGACTCCCATTATTATAAACTTTTCATTAACATCTTTTAAAATACCAAATGCAAAGTTCGAGATAGGTAGACTTCATGGTAAAAACTGCACTTCTATTGAATGTACAGTTTATATGTAATCACGGTGAACACGATCATTGGTATCAGTTTGACACAGCTCTGATGAAACAACACCAGCGCCAGACTGAGGCTACAGCTGAGTTATCGGCTTGATTCTGTACAAGAGCGATGAACCACCCTATGTCCGCAGTCCCTCCGGCTCCAAGGAGCCACAAATCACACGCTGTATAGTTGCTGATCACATTCCAACTAAATATAAGGAATTAGCCAATATAAGACAATCTCATTTCTCCTCCCTCCAAATGACTAATGTCAAACTTTAATGGTGATGAAACAATCAAATGCTTGTGATATTCAGGATATAGATAAAAATATTTTCATTATTACACAATTTTAATTTAGAAAGTCTATTTCTTCACTTGCATTTCAAGAACCACTTTTATTCCAACTGTCCACATTTTCAACAGCAGGGTCTGTCATTACCAGAACCACTTTTTGAGTTCATCCGAGTTGTTTGAGATAGGACACTTCCAGGATGTCTTATATGGGCATTTTATCCCAAAGCATAAGTGCATTTTATCAGAATGCTAGGATGATTGTGGTTGTTTTCAGTCTCTCATGAGACTGAAATACATCATACAATAGTGATGATCTATTTAAGAATCTTCCCTTGTAACTCGTTAATTTTTGTTTTATATATTCTAAAGCCGGGTAATTCAATGTGTAACAGTTTAGCACTTTTATCTTTTCCCGATAAATTTAGTCTTCAATCTCTCTGTAGCAACCTTCTTTATTTTCAATAAGGCTTTTGGGCTAAAATTCATTTTTTTCCCTCATATTAATTTAATGACATCAGCCTTCTTTTGCTTGGTACTTGCCTGGCATACCTTTGTCATCCTCTTACTTTTAATGTTTCATATCCATAATTTTAAGGTCTCTCTCACAAATATTATATAGCTGGATTTAATAGTTACCCAAGGAGAAAATTTAGTTCACTTACATATTGTGATTACTGGTATGTTTGGATTTACTGCTAACATTTTAATACTGCATTCTATTTTGTCCATTTTTTTTTTCTCTTTTCCTGCCTTCTTTTAAATTGAATTTTAAAATCGAACATTTCCATCTTCTGTTTTAGAAGTTATAAATTCTATTTCCATCTGTTTAATGATTACTCTTAACTTTTTCTTTCTTTCTTTTTTTCCATTTCAGTATTTATTTAAATGTTTAAATTCCTACACTAAGTTTTTACAAGCTGACGGACATTTACAAATTATTTTTCCCAAAGAACTAGAATCATACATTCCAGAAATTATAAATATAAGATTGAACACTGATACACAGTACCACCTTATCAATTATATGACAAATTATCAAGTATACAAATATTAAGTTACACAGATCAACAGGAAAACAAAATATCAGACACCTACTCAATTCATTGGAGAAACTAACTTCTCTTTTTGCAAGAAAGATTGGGAGAGAAGGAAAAAATTCACGCTTCTATCAACAATGGCTGGCAAACAGCTTCCAATAAAAATAGGAAAAAATTACAAATTTTCAGAAATTTTATGATTAAGAATTATTTGAGCTACAAGAACAAAGCAAGTCTATCTTAAAAACAAATATTTACTAACAGGCACATTCAGTACATCCTACACGACATTTTGCTAAAAGTACTTAATGGCTCACTCCCACATTTTTCCACCCTCTCTTTTAACTTGCACCCCAAAGTGCAAACATTCAATTAACTTTAAGATGTTTTTGTCTGGAGACGTTAAAGGTATGTGCTTCTGTTACAATGTGGATTTTACATGAACTTTTCAACCAGAGGTTTGTGATTTTCACAATGGAGGTTTTCATAATAGCACAAAATGAGATTTATAGAAAGACATTAAAAAATCATTATCAGACTTGGCCAAAAGCCAACAAAATCAGTGGTTACACAAACCTGTTTTAAATGCGAGAGGTATAAACATAAAGTAGCAGACAAATAGCCATACAGGTCCTACTATCAATGTTTGAAATGACTGAAGGGATAAACCATAGAAGATCTAGACTGTTTTTCACAGTTCCTGATTTTTAATTCTGTATGATATTAAAAACATACAAGTATTGTGGCTGGGTATTTCGGCACCCAATCTTTTTATATTTTTTATATATTGCTAAGATTCTGGCATGTGAATAGATTTGAAGAAGACTTATAACTCAATACTGAACGCTTCCTGGAAAGGTCAATTGATAAAAATGATAAGCACGTTTTAAATGCTGAACAGCAAGCATCTTTTGCTAAGTTTCCAAACAGCCTGATGATAATCCAAACACAGAGGCTGCAATTCTGCCAAGCTTGAGGCCTGATAGAACTGCTTATCAATACTCCTATGAAAGCTTCATTAGACTTCCCATTCGCCAAGCCTATGTGTTGGCTAATATGTATGATAAACCGGGTCCCGTCTTAAGCTCCATTTCCGAGACAATAGCATCAGGCAGCCCAGTTTTATTGACTGTAAGAGCAGTTTCTATGACTACTGGTAAAGATGAAGTGCAGCTGGATTTTAGGACAAGAGCTGCTTGCTTTTAAAAGCTCTACTCCAGGGGCGCCTGGGTGGCTCAGTCGTTAAGCATCTACCTTCGGCTCAGGTCATGATCCCGGGGTCCTGGGATCGAGCCCCACATCAGGCTCCCTGCTCTGCAGGAAGCCTGCTTCTCCCTCTCTCACTCCCCCTGCTTGTGTTCCCTCTCTCGCTGTGTCTCTTTATTTATTTGACACAGAGAGAGAGCACAAGCAGAGGGAGCAGTCAAATAAATAAAATCTTAAGAAAAAAAAAAGCTCTACTCCACTTTCATCTTCTAAACTTTCCTGCATCTTTATATCTCATGCCACCTTCAATTAATGTTAGGACAACAAGCATTAGAGCTCTCCCAAGACCTGTAACATGATGACAGTGACAGAACAACTAGGTTCTTAGAGAAACTTCATCTTTCCAAGATATAACCGGTCAACAGCCTGGCTGGATGGTAGCACACCACCATCAAATGGTCAGTCTGGAACCTAGATGCCTTCTTTCTCTGCAAGAGCAGTGTGGTAAGTTCCTTCACATATTCTTCCTATTGTGGTAATGCCACACTTTTTAAGTTCCTCTAAAAATTTGGGGTCACACTGGATAGACTGTCCTGTGTATGACTTCACAAGAATTGGTCAGTTCATCTGAGCCATACTTAGTTAAAAAACACTCAATAGGATGATGAAAGAATTGAAAGAAAAATGAATACAGAATACATAAGTGAGGTGAAGAAGC